GAGCCCCGGGCCCGCGGGGCCAAGAGGCGTGGGGGACAGGTCCCCAACGGGCTTCCGCGGGCTCCCCCTGCCCCGGTGATCCCGCAGCTGACTGTGACAGCCGAGGAGCCGGACGTACCCCCGGCCAGCCCGGGGCCGCCGGAGCCGGAGGGTGGCTGGCTCCCGGCCGTGGGCTCCTCACACCTGCAGCAGCCGCGCCGCCTCTCCACCTCGTCGCTCTCCTCCACTGGCTCCTCGTCGCTGCCCGAGGACTCGGAGGACGATCTGCTGAGCGACAGCGAGAGCCGGAGCCGCGGCAACGTGCAGCTGGAAGCCAGCGAGGACATGGGTCAGGTATGGGCCGCGGGGGCGGGGCCAGCGCGGGGCGCGGGGGCTGCGCGCGGCGGACCCAGCTCTGAGCTGGCGCAGGGCTGACTTCGGCGCTCGGCTCCCTCCGCCCCGGGTCTGGCCCTCACCGCCTAGCTGGGGCACTGGGGTCGCAGGGAGGCGCCGGGCCGACCTCCCGCCTTGGCAGTTTTCTCCGGGCTTCCACCAGCGGGTCGCGGCCCGGGCCCTAGGGCGTCTAAGAAGGAGAGGAAGGAGGAGTCTGCGACCGGCCGTGGGCACCGGGTGGGGCGGGGGTGGAGATCGTGACCTGCGGGCCGGGAAGTGGGGCCGGAGGGATCGGAGGGGCTTGGACTTGCCCCGCGAACTCTCGGAGAGAGAGAGGGGCGAACGAGTCTCCCTCTCTCCCCGCCCCCTCTCCCGCGCAGCGGCCCCACCCCCGCCGTTGCCACGGTTTCCCTCTCCTGAGTGGGAGTGGAGCGGAGCTCCAGGCTTTGCTCGGGAGCTGCCGCCGTCTGCTCCCCGCGCCCGCACGAGGCGTGGACGCGGAGAAGGGCCTCGGGGCTGGGGGCTCGGGCAGGGAGTGGAACGCAGCCCTGCCTCGGTTTACTGCTCCTAATCAAAGCCGGGAGAAGGTAAACTGAGGCTGAAAGGGGGGGGATCCTCCTTCTAACCGCCGCCTCTGGTAACCTGGCTGTTCCGGCGCCAGGTTTGACCCTCGGATAACCCGGGTCAGGGTGCAGCGAAGTCATTCCCAGTGCCTGCCCCTTAGGGGTGTGCGGCCCCTGGGATAGCCATCTTGTCCCCTCTTTTTAACCAAGGCCAAATATTTTAAATAACTGCCCGCGGTCAACGCGAAGGAGTTGTTCTAGATCCACGTTATGCAAGTGTCCCTGGAGCGGAGGGAGAGACGAAGGGCGCCCCGCAGGCTCTGGTGGCTCCGGGCCCGCCCAGAAGGGCGGTGAGAGTTGCGGACGCGCGCCGGGGCGGCCTGGGCGCGGTGGGGGAGCCCTGAGGCGCGGCCTCCGCCTGCTGAACCCGGGCTTCGAAGCTCGTTCGGATTGGACGAGGCGGAGGAGACCCTGTAACGACTTGCTGTGATCAGTTACCCGCTGAGACTTACATTACCCAGAGGGCAGCGTGATTTGTAAGGGACACAAGGGAAAAAGGGCTCCTAGAGCAGGAACGAACACACACACACACACACACACACGCCGCCGCCCTCAAGTGTAGGGTGCGGGGAGTCCCTCTCTCCTCCTCCGGAGATAAGGATACCCGTGATCCGTGATCATTCCTAGTACAACCCTGGCTCCGACGGGGATGCGGGTGCCACCGAGGGATTTCCAGGGCGGTGGAATGTGGGACAGTGAGAGGACTCCTTCTTTTCCACCTCCTCCGAAATGCGGAGCGGTAGTTCTGGGTGCACCGCTGCCCTGGTCAGATCTCTGCCAAGCCCAGAAGCGGGTGCAGAAGAAAGTACGCCAGGAGCGCAGCCCCCCGCTTCCCTCTTTCGCCCCCAGTCGGAGGAGGTCCCGCGACCCAAGCCTGCTTGCAACATAGGCAGCCGGGCTGGGGTCAAGACTCTGGAGACCGGTCGCAGCTGTGCCCCGGGCGTCTTCGGCCAGTCTCTCCCTCCCCAAGGTTCGCGGTCTTCCGGCGCGGCCAGGAGCTGGAGCAGATGGCCGCTGAGGGCCCTTCCAGCTCCAAGGCTGCGGCTCCCAGACCTTCCCAACCCCCAGCCCGCCGGGGCCTCCCCGAAGGCAAACAGGCACGGCGGTGGCAGATAAGCCAGTAGCTGTTGACAGAGGCTGCCTGCGTCCGCGTGGAAGGGCCCGGCGCGGACTTTGCCTTGAGGCCGGTCCGGGAGCGGCACAGAGCGCCGGCCCAGGCTGCCTTTAGGGCTCTCCCAGTCAGGAAGCAGAGGCCATCGGCGGGCCGCGAAGGATGCGCCTGGGAGAAGGGTCCTGCAGCAGCCCTCGGGAGCTGCCGGCTGGCCAGCCCCTTACCCGCGGGCCTGGGTACATAACGGACTAGCTCGGAGCAAGAGGCGGCCCGGAAGGCTCTACCTTGCCTCTGCCTGGAACATACTCACACAGGGCACATGGTGTCTTGAGTGTGTCTTGGGTTCACTCAAGACAGAGAGGCTCCATCTCCTGGGAACACCGCACGTCCTGCCCAGAGCCTGGAGCTGGGCTCCCCCCAGAGTAGTTGGACTGGGCAACCTGCCTCCCTCCTGGGGCCCCTCTTCTGGTAGAGGAGAAAGTCGTGGGCAGGGAAACCCAGACAGATCAGGAGAGGGGTTGGGGGCCTATCCCCAAGAGCAGTTGGCATGACTGTATTCTTAGGCCTTGCCTGCCTCTTAAAACAATTTTGGGGTGTTGCTGTAGCAGAAGAGAGGGTGTTTGCCTCCTGTTCACTTGGTTCTCTTCTTTCAGTGCTCCAGGATAGGTAAGGAGACCTCGATGCCATCCTGTCCTGGACCCAGAACTCCCACACTTCACTTTTCACTAATTATAGAGCAGAATTTAGGTTAACAGACTTCCTTTTTAAAAAGCAAATGCCCCTGAGAGGGTGAAGTCGTGGGTCACTTATACCTCAGCGCAAATCATTTTATAAATTTAAACTGATTGCTCTCACCACCACCACCACCACAGGGAGTGCTGGTTTGATAGGGCAATGGGAACATGAGGAGGAGGTTGGGCTGGCAGAGAGCTTCGGCCAGAGACTGAGTGGTTAGAGGTAAGGAGTGGGAGTCAGGAGGTATAGGGATGAGTAGCAAAGACGAGGGTCCATTCTGGCAGAAGATACACTGAGTATCTGGTGTGATTTAAGGAGTTCTCAGGCCTTCCAAATGGAGCTTGGACAAAGGAGCATCTGAGGCTAGTGTCCAGCCGTGCCCTTCCCAGAGAGAGAGAGATGTCCCCCCTGTGCAGCCCCAGGGGTGAGGATCAGAAGGGGCCCCTGTGACTTCCTCAAAGACTCTTTCACATAGTCAGCTCTCCTGGGTTTTTGCCCCAAGATGCCCAGGTAGCCTTTGGCTGTGAGTTGGTTTCCCAGACTTCTGTGGGGGAGTAGGCTGGGCCAGAGGTTGGGGCTTTGGCCCTCTTTCCAGCTAGATTTCACTCTGTAACATAATAAATCTGCTTTCTGATATCCATACAATAAAAGCCTTACCTGCTCAAAAATATCTTCCCTGCTGTTGTTCATATGCCAAAATCCCCACCCACCCACTGAAGAATGACTCTTCAAGAGCCTTTTTAGATACATGCATTTTTATCTGCATTATGTTCCCTGGAGGAGGTAGCTCCCTAAGATGGATGCTGGTGAGTTCATTGATACTTGCATAAACTCCTTCCACGTTTGACCTGTATCCATCGCTGGCAGGGGAGAGAAACCCTGTCCTACCAACCTCAGGGGGTGGCTGGGAGGGCTCAGATGAAAGCCCTTTGTAACCTGCGGGGGCCGGAACCAGCCCTAGTTGCTGTTGCTCTTGGTTGATATGATCCTCACAGAATTGGAGAGAGGAGAGTAGGTGATGACCCCATTTTACCTGAGATCATGACCTGAGCTGGAATCAGGAGTCAGACACTTATCCGACTCACCCACCCAGGCGCCCCCTACAAAGCTCTTTCTCATGCAGGGTCCCATTTGACCCCCAAAGGGAGTTGGGGTGGTAGCATGGATTTTGGAAACTGCTGGGGTGACTAGAACATGGGGAGGAGGTGGGGCTGGTAGAGAACTTTAGCCAGGGACTGGGATGCTGGAGGCAGGGAGTGAGGGGATATGAACTCCTCTAAGCCTTGACTTCCTTCTGTAAAATGGCAATAATGCTACCCCCTCATGCACTTGATGTGCATGTGCATGATTTGAAAACCATGAGTGGGAGAAGAGGGTATAAGATGGTGCTGCTGAATGTACATGGCACATACATCTTCCTGGAATTTTACTTGAGGATTTGGAGGTGGGAGAGTTTTATAATAAAACTTGGATTTATTATGCAGCAGAATGCAAACCTTGTACATATTTAAAGAGTAAAAAGGAGTTTTGAAAGAGATGTCATGCTTCTAGTGGGCTGCTTCTGGCTACACCCCCAGATCCCTGGGGGTTGGACATGTGATCACACCCTAGTGTGCCATGTAGGGACTTCAGTAGGGAAACAGGAGCAGTGCTTTCTGATGGGAGATGAGAAGCGCCTGGCAGGCTGTAGGCGGTCAGTAAAGGGTGGCTCGTGTTATGGCAACAGCTATACCCTCCCAGAGGAAACAGGCTCACACAGATGAAATTCTCACTTGGGTTCACTCAGCTAAAAAGTGATAGAGCCACCTGATTCCAGTGCTCTGTCACTAACCCCCATCTCCTGCCCATGGGAAAGGGCTTTCTGGTCAGCAGCCTTTCCCTGCTGAGGCCACTGTGCCAGTTCTCCCTGTCTCTCATACAACTTCCTCTGATCAGGGAGGCTGGATTTCTAAGTTGAGTTCTAGCCCTGGAACTCCTGCAACGCATACGTAAGTCCTCATAGGCAAGCACGCTTGGGAGGAGGCAGCAGATACACAGCTTGGATGAGCAAACCTGTGTACTTCAGAGGTTGGCACAGGACTGATGAGTTTTGGGTGGGAAAAGGAAAGGTCCAGAGTATGAGATGCTCTCAGGATTGGGTGGAGGCCAGAAGGAATGTTTGTGAAGCAAGAGGTACACCAAGATCTACATTTCCCTCCCAGTTTCATCTGAGATGACAGGCTCTCAGCTCTGCATCCCATTTTCTTTTCTTTTTTTTAAAGATTTTATTTATTTGACAGAGAGAGACACGGTGAGAGAGGGAACACAAGCAGGGGGGGTGGGAGAGGGAGAAGCAGGCCTCCCACTGAGCAGGGAGCCCGATGCGGGGCTCGATCCCAGGACCCTGGAACCATGACCTGAGCCGAAGGCAGATGCTTAACGACTGAGCCACTCAGGTGCCCCTCTGCATCCCATTTTCTTTTCTTTTTAAGAGTTTGTTTATTTATTCATAAGAGACGGAGAGAGAGAGGCAGAGGGAGAAGCAGGCTCCCCGCTGAGCAGGGAGCCCGATGCGGGGCTCGATCCCAGGACCCCGGGATCATGACCTGAGCCGAAGGCAGACGCTTAACCATCTGAGCCACCCAGGCACCCTGCATCCCATTTTCAAAGCTCACGTTTCTGGGTCTAGAGTAAGAAGACCAAGGGTAGCCTGGCCCTAGCCAACTGGTGAGGAGTGATATGGCATCCAGGAATAGCAAGGGGGTCTTGGGGAGCCCCAAGTCATTCTTTTCCCAGGCCCTGCCAGGCTAGCCTCTCAGCCCTGGGCCTTTGCAAAGGTTTGTTTCCATGTTTGTCTCCCTAAATGAGAGTAACCAATGGTCCAAAGTGAATGAAACAATAATCCAGATTTGTCCAGCTTCTGCTTCGTGCCAAGGAATGGGGTCCCAGGGTGGGGGGGTGGGCACAGGGGCTGGAGCCTGTCACACTCAAACCTCATTTACTACTCATAACAACCCAGTGAGAACGATTATTTCCCCATTTTACAGATGAAGAAACTGACAGAGGCTTGTTTCTCAGGCCCCCGGAATCTCCTGAGGCATTGTTAGAAATGCAAATTTTTGATTCCACCCAGACCTACTCAGAATTTCCTTGAGGCAGACCTGAGTGCATTTTTTTTAAAAGATTTTATTTATTTATTTGACAGTGAGAGACACAGTGAGAGAGGGAACACAAGCAGGGGGAGTGGGAGAGGGAGAAGCAGGCTCCCCGCTGAGCAGGGAGCCTGATGTGGGGCTCGATCCCAGGACCCTGGGATCATGACCTGAGCCAAAGGCAGATGCCTAACGACTGAGCCACCCAGGAGCCCCCTGTCTGCACTTTTTTAACATGGGTGACCATCAGGTGATTCTCATGCTCAGGAAAGTTCTAAATCCTTGACGGAACACTTTAGTAACCTACCCACACAGCTGGAGCAGCAGAACTGGGGTGCAAACCTGAGCCTTCTGACACTAAGTCCAGGGCTCTTTTCAGCACGATGGAGAAGCTGGATATCTGTCATCACGCTGTACCTGTCTCAGTGTCCTCCACACAGGCTCACAATAAACTTTCCTTGAGTGAGTTAGTGAGTGAATGAATCGCGGGGCCCTAGCTGCTTGCAGTGGGCTGGGGCCGGAGGAGACCCTATGCCAAAGGAGGGAGGGCTTATGCATTGCCGAGACGCCAACGTGCGCGCCCGGGACCTGTCGCTTTCAGAAAAGCCACTGGCAGAAGATCCGGACCATGGTGAATCTGCCCGTCATGAGCCCTTTCAAGAAGCGCTACGCCTGGGTGCAGTTGGCTGGGCACACGGGTGAGCACAGGGCAGGCGCCGCTGGGGTGGGCGGGTGCCCGGGGAAGGAAGGGACCAGGCAGCGCTAACTGGTGCCAGTCCGCAGGGAGTTTCAAGGCGGCTGGCACCAGCGGGCTGATCCTGAAGCGCAGCTCGGAGCCGGAGCGCTACTGCCTGGCGCGGCTCATGGCGGACGCGCTGCGCGGCTGCGTGCCCGCCTTCCACGGCGTGGTGGAGCGCGATGGCGAGAGCTACTTGCAGTTGCAGGACCTGCTCGACGGCTTCGATGGGCCCTGCGTCCTTGACTGCAAGATGGGCGTCAGGTACACGTGCCCTGCCCGTCCGGGCGGGGGTACAGGGCGGGGATGAGCGCTCTCCCGGGTGCCTAAAGCCGCGCCCGACCGGGTCCGGGCGTGCGCTCTCTTACGCCCCCACCGCTGCCTGCGCATCCGCAGGACTTACCTGGAGGAGGAGCTGACCAAAGCCCGCGAGCGGCCCAAGCTGCGGAAGGACATGTACAAGAAGATGCTGGCGGTAGACCCTGCGGCGCCTACCGAGGAGGAGCACGCGCAGCGCGCCGTCACCAAGCCGCGCTACATGCAGTGGCGAGAAGGCATCAGCTCCAGCACCACGCTCGGCTTCCGCATCGAAGGCATCAAGGTGGGCCAGGCCCGCTAAGCTTTGCAGCGCCCTGGCCCTCCCTCTGCCCTAACCCCACTGCGCGGTGTCTGCCTTCCTTGTTGACCCCCACCACTAGGCACCCTCCGGCGGCCTTCCCGCCGTCCCTGGCAGCCAACGTCCTGGAAGGCACCGCTACTCTAGCCTGATCCTCTCCCCTCGAGCAGTGGAGAGACACGGGGACCCTGACACTTCCTGTCCCACTTCCTTCAGAAAGCTGACGGCTCCTGCAGCACCGACTTTAAGACCACGCGAAGCCGGGAGCAGGTGATTCGCGTCTTCGAGGAGTTTGTGCAAGGGGATGCGGAAGTGCTGGTGAGCGCCGGATCCTAGAACCCTGAGGGGCTGGGGAACCTGAAACCGAGGGGTGCCCCTAGGTCATCCGGTCTGGTGCCCTCGCCTGTGACCCCCATCGTAGCATGTAGGCACCTGGGGGCCTGTGTCTTCCTCCCCACGGTATCTGCCAAGCCAAGCATGCATCATGGCCTCTGATATTAGCAGAGGCTCAATTAGTATTTGGTTAATCTGCCCTCCTATCCTATCCTGCCCTCTCCAGAGGAGGTATCTGAACCGCCTGCAGCAGATCCGGGACACGCTGGAGGTCTCTGAGTTCTTTAGGAGGCACGAGGTAAGAGGGGGTAGGCTCACGTGCCAGGACTGTGGTCTGTGAGGGCTACAGCAGGAATAGGATGGGGGGCTTCTCCAGGAAAGGGCTGCGGCCTGACCGTGTGGGGCTCGGCAGGTGATTGGCAGCTCGCTACTCTTCGTGCACGATCACTGCCATCGCGCGGGTGTGTGGCTCATCGACTTCGGCAAGACCACGCCCCTCCCCGACGGCCAGACCCTGGACCACCGGCGGCCCTGGGAGGAGGGCAACCGCGAGGACGGCTATTTGCTGGGGCTGGACAATCTCATTAGCATTCTGGCCAGCCTGGCAGAGAGATGAGGCTGGGCCCCAGTTCTAACAGATGGATCTGCGGCTGCGTCCCCGCCATGCATGCCGGAGAGAGACTGAAACCCCGCGCTGCGGGGCGGTTCACACGGTTCTGCAGGGCCAGGTGCCAACCACTATGGGACGCACTGCACGCGCTGGGGGCTGTCCCCCATACAAGACCCAGAGTTCCCAGAACCGATGGCACTAATTAACAGAAGGGGGTGGGGGAGGGGTGGCTGGGACAATGGGCTCCTTCCTCAGCCCAGCTCTTCTGAGGGGGCTGCATATCTCTCTCGAGAGGCCAGATAATGAATTTTATTTTGCAGGCACTAGATCTATTGGTCTAACTTCCCACACTACAATGGACAGCCTTTCCCAATAAAACTCAAAAACACCAGCTTTGGTGACTCAGGCCTCGTCCCCTCCCTCCTCTGGTCCCTTTCTCACTTCCCTGGCATCCCTCATGTCCACTCAGATCACTGGAGGGTATGAGAAGAGCTCTTTATTAGAGGCATCTGTAGGACTGGGGACTGCCCAGATGAAGGACACTCATGGGGGAAGGGTAATCCAGAGAAGGCTTCCTGCAGGAGGCAATTTCAACCTCTCGTCCCAAAGACAAAAGGCTGGGAGAGGCCAGTCTCTTCACCAGGAAGCCTGAGCTGGTTTCCAGGATGCAGGGTCCAGTGGTGCCAGGCCAGCCCTGAGACAGGCGCAGACATGCAGCACAGACTGCAGGGGACAGAGGCTCCTGGAATAACAAGCTCCCTAGAAGCCTGGGGAGGAGTGCAGGGAGGAACCACTGCGACTGTCAGTGCCTGAGTCCTCACCTTCAGTGCCCCTTGGGGCCCAAGAGCCATAGGGGGGGATTCCTTTGGATGCCTTTGGAATCCCCCCTGAGGTTGGAAGTACTTGGATTTGGGGGTCTTGAGGCTAGAGGGCAGCCACGGGGCAAGGATGCTCCCTCCCCAGCTCTTTAAGCTCTCCAGATTCAGTTCCTGGGCCTCTGGGGATCTTAGGCCCTCCAAAGACCTACTCCCCAGCCCAGAAGTCCCTTCCTGCTCTAGGGTGGGCCCCAGCTCCATTGGCAGGGGTGAATTCACATCAGCGTCCTGTAATGCGGGAGGCAGAAGAGCCACAGCATTGTTCCACGGCTGCCCTCCTGACCCTCAAGATCGAGATGGTCAAGGCAAGAGAGGGGGCACACCTGAATTCAGTATCGAAGATGCTCCAAGATGGCAGCAAAACTGGGGCAGAGTTCAGGCGGATGCTGCCAACACTGGGTCATGATATGGTACCTGGGGAGAGGCAGGAGTTCGTCCCACCCATAGCTGTGAAGGACCTTCTTCCCTGGACAATACTCCATACTCACACAGGCCCTGGACAGCCCCTGGGAGGACCCATCCATCTCCCTCCACGACGAAGTACAGCACGTCCTGGTTGGTGCCCCCAGGGTAGGGCATGTATCCTAATGAGAAGATCTCCCAGAGCAGCACCCCAAAAGACCTGCCTCACGGGTGGGGGAAACTGAATGAAGCTTATCAGGCACGGCCTCCCTTTTGCCTCACATGAGGTGGCCCAAGGCCGGGGGGCGGGTATGTGTGTTATCACCAGGAGTCTGTCTTGAATGTGAAGATGCCCTCCAAGAAGGCCTCTGGGGGCATCCACTTGACCAGCAGCAGAGCCCGGCCCCCTGGCGGTAACAGCTGGCTCTATAGGAGGGAGGAGGGGCGTGATGAGTTAGTTGCTCAAGCGCCACCAGAGTGCTGGTAAACTCCCCTGGAGCGGTAGCCTCCCCGCCTCCCCAGACCCCACACCTGTAGATATCTCTGGCCATCCCAAAGTCCCCAGTCTTGGCCACTCGGCTGGGCCCAGTACAGCTCAGCAGGCAGTTCCTGGCAGCAATGTCCCTGCAGGCAAAAAATCCCCACCAGAACTCAGAAGCTCTGGCTCTGATCCGTTTCCATAAAAGTTATGGAAGAGCTGTTCCTTGGGGAGAGAGTTGGGCTGCTCCCCCACCCCCTCCGAGACAGGATCACTCCCAACCTCTGGATGAAGTGATTTTCCTCCAGGTAGTGGCAGCCCTGGGCTATGTCTTGGGCCAGCTGGAGCAGGTCCCGCATGGCCAGAAGTGATGGCTGGCCCTGGGTAGGGCAGAGGGTACATTAGTCCATGCTTGTTTTGGGACAGGTGGACAGGGTCTTTATTTTTTTACTTTTATTTTTTAAGAGATTTTATTTATTTGAGAGAGAAAGAGAGCACAGGCAGGGGAGGGTGGGGTGGTGGGCAGAGGGAGAAGCGGACTCACTGCTGAGCAGGGAGCCCAATGCAGGGCTCCATCCCAGGATCCTGGGATCATGACCCAAGCCCAGGGCAGACGTTTAACCAACTGAGCCACCCAGGTGCCCCGGACAGGGTCCTTAGATGGGCTCAGAGGGCTGGGAGAAGGGTCTTACCAAGCGTGGCTGGGTGTTCCTCAGGAAACTCTTCATGTCCTCTGCAGACATCAACTCGAGCAGAATTAGGCGAGGGACAGTCCAGAGGCTGAGCCCCACACAGTGCACAATGTTCTGATGGCTGAACTTGCTTAGTGGGAGGTGCACATACCCCAGTCGCCAGCAGGGAGGGAAACCAAGCTCGAGGTTCCACAAAACTGGAGACAGGCTCTGTATCCCTAGGCCTGCTACCTCTCAGCCCCAGGGTGAAGAGAAACCATCCAGGCAGGCAATTCTGCTTTCACCTTCCACCCCTGCCCCTAGCCCCAGGTGCACCTGATGATGAGTGCCTCCATGAGGAAATCCAGCTCATCCTGAGGAGAGCAGTTCTGGCAGGGTCTGGGGAGGGAGAGGGCTCCTGAGCTCCCCAAACACTTCAGGAGAGTGGGTTGACTCTAGCTCCAGCAACTGTTCCAGAAGTTCCACCCCCCTCACTTTGACAGCCACCTGCAGGGGGCTGGGGTCCCCAGGAAGGCCATTTACCAGTCCCTCATAGACTTCTCCAAAGGCACCATGGCCCAGGGCTCTGCAGGAAGACAGGCTGGAAGGGAATGGGTGGCTGGACCTGGGGAAGGGTCCTAGAGGGTCTAGTGCCTCCTTTTTACCTCCTTGCCATCCCCTATATGCCCAGGCGGCCCTATCTGAGGACTCAGGTCTTCCTGCATCATAGTATCTCCCCAAGTACAAGCCCTACAGAGGCGATGTTGACAGGCACAGAATCAGGGCAGAAGAGAGAGGAGGTATGGGCTCAGGGTGGGGGCGGGAGTCTGTGACGAGGTTTTCCTTACGTCCTTGCAGACACCCTGGGTAGAGGCAACCCTTGCTCCAAAGGAATCATAGGGTCCCCACCATCCTAGAATTGGGGATGACAGCTGACCTTGGACAAGTTACTCTGCCTTTTGGAACTTCTCTGACCTCTATCTCCTCCACACAGAGGCTTGGGGCCAGATGCTCTCTGTGAACCATAATTCACCACAGCAGGGCACGGGATGGGAGTGAGAGGAATTCAGAGTGCATAGGTTCACAGCGGAGGGGGAGAACTTACTTGAGCAGAGTGACATTGGCTGGGGAAACTTCTGTAAGCCCTGGGGGCAGAGATCAGTGCCAGGCCCAGCCAAACCCCACCTGGCAGTAGTAAGGGTTGAGGGCTGTCTTGATGGTGGAGGTTCGAAGATTGCTCAGCTCAAGCTCAGGGCCTGGCAGCCTTGTCCCCCACAGGCCCTACCACTTCTTATGGTTCACTGAGGAAGAAGGGCAAACTCTCTACATGCCCATCTGGCCCACCCTGCTTTGCCACCCCTCCGCCCAGGACATCTCTCCAGATACCCATTAAGGCAAACGTCTTCCCTGGGCCTCCACAGCTGCTTCTACTCTTAGAATCCCAGAGGAGCCCACCACTGCTCTGCTGGAAGCAGGGGTCTTGAAATCAGCCACGTCTGTCCCTGGGACCCCACACACAGCTCAGTGAAGAGGTGGGCAGCCTTGAATCAGCCATGCCTGCTGGATGTTCCTTACCCAGAATCAGGACCCCACACACCATAAGGAGACTCAGTGTAGAGGTCACACGACAGTCACCAACAGAACCAGAGGGGCCTGGTGGGGTGGGCAAGTCTAGGGAGACATAGAGACACCTCCAGTGGGAAGCTCCTCTCTGTCCCCCTCCTCAAATTTTACCCATGCCTCAAGACTCAGCCCAAGTACTAACTTCTCCCTGATACTTGTCCTAGATAAAAGCAACCTTTCCCTCCTGAGAACCCCTAAAACACTTTAAGCCTCCCATGGCAATTGTCACTTTAATAGATATCTATATCTAAATCTAGATACATATCTGGGTGCCTGGGTGGCTCAGTTGGTTAAGCATCTGCCTTCGGCTCAGGTCATGATCCCAGGGTCCTGGGATAGAGTC